AATCTAGGTGTGACGCTTCGGGCTCCATGTTGATGGCCATTCATTTTCCGGCTCTAGGCTCTAGGCTCCGGCAGAGAGACAACGACCATGGGTGTTGCTTTCCAAGCAAACAATAAAGTGTAAATAGTTTCTACGCGTCGCTTAGCGTGCTCAAGACAATCATGCCTTCAATTTGCTCGGCTCTGTGTTGGGAACCGGTTCCCGTGTTCGCATGTTGTAAACTATGGGCGGCAATGCTTGCCCCAAACCGTTATGTATCGCCATTTGCCTCTTGTAAGCGCCGCAAGCCAGGAACGGTAGCCCCCTTGCACGGCTGGGCCACGTACGCATCCAATATACCTCAGCCGGGGTAGATTATTATTGCTTTTGGGGGGAGAGGTGGCGTACAAGATAGCAACGCATCGGTGCCCGATGGACACAGCGTTCCGTACTCTCAGCACGCAGCCAGGTGTTGGCAGACAAAACGTAGCCGTGGAACAGCGTATTATTGCATGCATGTGCTTAAATTGCATGGCCGCAGTTCATTTCCGAGGAGAGAGGGGCAATAATGCATTCCCCAAACCGTCGCTCGGTTTGCAATCTATCAGGTGCCTGTACGGCCACGTCAGAAATTCGCCATTGTCTGGAAGCCTTACTTTAATGCACGCCCCTAGGAGTGAGCGAGCAGAAGGGTACGGCAGCAAACAATTGCACAAAATATAAACACGCAAAGTGAACCGCTGCTGTAAGCGGCAACATTCCGTAATTATTCCAACAAGCAGGATTCGGCGACCGCCACTTACTCCAACTTTGGCTGGGATTAATAGACGCTGGTCGCAGGCAGGTGCTTACACGTCAACCGTCGAAATGGCATAGGGGCTGGCAAAACTTTAGTCTTTGTTGCTTTCTACTTATGTGCAACTTGGCTCGTTCGGCTGTGATCGAATCTTATCCGGCCAACGGTTGCCAACGGAGATTTGTCACGTCAGTCGCGTCCTGACAGGGCCCGCAGTCAAGTCCGCCAGCTCTGCGGGTAGTATAAATGCGCGACTGTATTTTCTTGTATTTATCCTCCACTGCTCAAAGCATATACAAGGCAGTAGCCTTCCTAGCTAGCACTCATCCCCGATCCCTAATCGTATTTCCGTGTTAGTTGGCAAGAGACCAACCAAGCCCCTCGAGTATAGCAACTGTCCCTATACAGCGCCCCTTTTGGCGCACGCACATCATTATGGCTGCCAGTAGTCACCCACCCGGTGCATGCCGCCGCAACCTCCTGGCGGCATCCATGTTGCTGTCGGCCCCGCTGCTGCTGCTACTGCTGGTGCCTCTAGCCCACGCGGCGCCCGGCTGCAACCCCTACACCTACCCTTACAAGACTCTCTCCCACTACAACCCGGACGACTGCCGTACCTACTACCTGTTCGACGTGGATGCGGGCTGCATGCCCAACTGGGCCACCGCAAAGGAAGTTTGCGCACGCCGTGGGCTGGAGCTTGCACCTGTGGATGATGACGAGTCCATGGGTAAGGGAATGCGGTACCCATGAATGCAGCACTCTTCCTGCCGAAACATTCTGCGCAATGTGGCCGCCCTTCTATCTCGTACGCGAACGACCCCTCCTGATCCGAGTTTACAGATGCTTCCAACGGACCCTACCCTCCGCAGACTCGCTGCATGAGCTGTGCGCCGAAAACCACTACACGTGCTGGATGGACGGCGAGTGCAATCCCGGCCTGTGCTACCTAATGAGCCAGGAGGGCTTTACACTGAAGCAGGGGTGCGAACAGCCTGTCCGCTTCGTCTGCCGTACCAAGGGTAAGGGCGTACACGTGTACAACAGTGGCCAATCCCTTAGACGCAACCCTAGCCGGATTAGTATGGAGGAACCCACCAGGGCGCCATGGCTGCTGTCTGCATCAGACCAACATCTTGTTCCCCAATATTTCCCGTGTCTTTGCAGAGTCCCCGAGGTGGTGTCCCGACAGGAAGCCTCACCCGCCGCATCATGGCCCCAAGCCTGGTACGTCGGGCCAAGCTAGTACATGCCGTGCCCGATTATCAGAATCCTGATGTCGGACCTGCCAACGTCTGCATGTGTACATACAGCCCACCTTGTAAACAAGTGCCCGCAAGCAGCATGCGCACAACTAACGCCTCCCACAATCCGTTTTCCCATGCATCTTTCAGACAACAACGTGCTCAGGCTGTTCAAGCACGGCTATGTGTACCGCATGTACACCGTGGATGCCACACAGCGCTTGCCGAACACGGGAGCCGAGAAGTTCTGCCAAGACCTGGGTTTCGGCTGGGACCTGGTTCCTTACGGTGATATGTCAGGCTACGACGCCCTCAACCACCTGTGCGCCAAGAACCGCTACACATGCTGGTTCAAGAAGGCCAAGGATGATAAGCTGTGCCCGCTTATTGATGCTGAGGGCAAGCTGCAGATGCAGGGCTGCGAGCAAAACGTGCGATTTGTGTGCCGCAAGCGGGTTGACTAGAAGTTTCCTATCGATCGTGAATGACACGCATGGTGCATGATGCGAGCAATCTAGGTGTGACGCTTCGGGCTCCATGTTGATGGCCATTCATTTTCCGGCTCTAGGCTCCGGCAGAGAGACAACGACCATGGGTGTTGCTTTCCAAGCAAACAATAAAGTGTAAATAGTTTCTACGCGTCGCTTAGTTCCCGTGTTCGCATGTTGTAAACTATGGGCGGCAATGCTTGCCCCAAACCGTTATGTATCGCCATTTGCCTCTTGTAAGCACCGCAAGCCAGGAACGGTAGCCCCCTTGCACGGCTGGGCCACGTACGCATCCAATATACCTCAGCTGGGGTAGATTATTATTGCTTTTGGGGGGAGAGGTGGCGTACAAGATAGCAACGCATCGGTGCCCGATGGACACAGCGTTCCGTACTCTCAGCACGCAGCAAGGTGTTGGCAGACAAAACGTAGCCGGGGAACAGCGTATAATTGCATGCATGTGCTTAAATTGCATGGCCGCAGTTCATTTCCGAGGAGAGAGGGGCAATAATGCATTCCCCAAACCGTTGCTCGGTTTGCAATCTATCAGGTGCCTGTACGGCCACGTCAGAAATTCGCCATTGTCTGGAAGCCTTACTTTAATGCACGCCCCTAGGAGTGAGCAAGCAGAAGGGTACGGCAGCAAACAATCGCACAAAATATGAACACGCAAAGTGAACCGCCGCTGTAAGCGGCAACATTCCGTTAGTATTCCAACAAGCAGGATTTGGCGACCGCCACTTACTCCAACTTTGGCTGGGATTGATAGACGCTGGTCGCAGGCAGGTGCTTACACGTCAACCGTCGGAATGGCATAGGGGTTGGCAAGACTGTAGTCTTTGTTGCTTTCTACTTATGTGTAACTTGGCAGAAGCCCTCTAAAAGGCAGTCAAGCGTGTGGTGAGGGAATACCTACACAGACGGGCTGTGGTTAGGTATCGCAACACTACACGCAGAGCCAAAAGGCTCCTGCTGAATCACGGGGGATTGCTTACACGCACCAGGCGTGGGTCGCATCGCAGCGTGACCGGCCAGGAATAGGCAACATAATGGGCCGAGGACGGAGGCGTCGAGCAAGCAGTGACTCGCACACGCGCCCCACTTACCCTGGGATCGTGGCCAGCCGATAGGTGTTGATTGCAAACACGATCATTCCTTGTCATGATTGGCAGAGAGTTCCCTAACGCCGCTACAGGAGAGCGTGGCTCTGGAGAGACATCACCAATAATCCATCCGAAAGCGTATGCTCCGGAATAGCCTAGCTTAGCAACATCGAATTCTGCACCACAAACGTCAAGTTACACCCGGTAGAGCCGCAAATATCGAGATAGCATATGTATGTGTGCAGGGTCGGTAAGTGAAGGTCTGCAGCAGCATCCAAACAAACCTTTACTTACCAACCCTGCAGAATTTGTGGTGCAGAATTCGATGTTGCTAAGCTAGGCTAGTCCGGAGCATACGCTTTCGGACGGCACACGCCATACACGCTGCTGCCGCTGATGTGATCCAGTGTGTTGTTAGGCTGTATGAATGGACATGACACCAAAGACCTCATGACGGGCGTCATGCGAAAAGATTCTTGCCTCGGATGATGAGTCAACCCGAACCCCTTGCCAACGGTACGCGTTGGGGTGGCACTTCGACAAGGTTCTTTTTACCATGCTTACTGTCACGCCTCACAACCCGTTTCCAGTGATTATCGCTCGATAAGCGCGTGCTGTCACTTTTACCGGTCCCGATAGTGATGTCGTACGCATTGTCACGATGTGCCATGCCCTGGTGGCGTCATCCAATCATACTTGTGCTAGTTCTAGGCGTGGAGTGTCGCAGACGTCTGTGCAGCTCTTGACCTCCTTTGGCATTGACTCCTTTGGCACATAAAGCTTCTTGGTGGAGCAGATATTGGTGCTCAGGCTGCGAAGGACCCAATCAGCTGCAGTTTCATGTGCATGCTTGCGTCGCCTGCCGGCTTAACCATGGAACCACCATTTATATTTTTGGTGTAGCTAAAAATCTAGTTTGAGGACCCGTAGGGGCGAGTGCAATAGTTGTCGTACATTGAGCTTGGGTGGGCAGCTGGCGCTCAGAATGTTGCCATCCTTGTTGTTTTTGGCCTGCCCTTGATTCCAGGCGCTCCGCTAGGCCGCGGCTTGGAAGCAAGGTAACAGCCTTAGTGAAGAACCCGGCCGATTTCAGGAATGTTTTCTCCGAAACCACCGAAAGTCTAATCCGTTGCTTTCAAGGTGTGCCTTTTCAAACTATTCAATAACATAAAGTTATGAAACTAACAGAGAAATGGATAGGCTAATGGAATACAAAACAAGTCTCCTGTACTTTGGTAACCTGCCCAGAAGCAAACGTTTACGCATACTTGTAGTGCTGACTATGGACATGTCAATATGGCATTTGCACAGAGCAAGAAGCATTGAGTTCATGAGACCAATGTCGTACCTTGCCACCAGCGCACTAGAAGCCGTGTATGCTTTGATTAGTTCAAGACCTTCGTGCCTTAACAACTTGAAAGCCTTCTAGCCTTCCCTTGGTGTTTACCGGTAATCATAGCACCTTTACCTTTCAAGTACTTGTTTGCGCCGACACTTATGGCTTTAAGCATACCAAACAATGGGACGATTGAGTAGAAGTGCACAACAAATAGAGTCGTTGTGTACAGCCGCAGAGGCCATACTTGCGCGCGGCAGTAAACTCAGTGCTAAGGTCTTGTTGAACGAAGTTCGTGGTAACCCACATTGCACTGACTTGACTTATAGATCTGCCAATAACTTTCTACATCGCAACAAAGTTGGGCAGCAGTATATGCGCCCTTCTCCCAACGACAATAGTCTTCCACCAAAGAAGCGATTAAGATGGACTGCTGTTGACGAGGCGGCCTTTCAGGAAGCGGTTGTTACCATCCAGTCGACCAGCAATAAACTGACTGCTAGCAATATTGCAAAGGAGCTGAAAGGCAGTGCAGCTTCATACGACCAACTTCGTTACCGTCTTCGGAAATTGACAGCCGCTAAGCACAACATTGAAGAAACGCCTGATTTGGGTGTTGTTGGCAGCAGGAGATGAAGAGTTTGTTGATGGTAAGTTGAACCCACAACAACACATTCGTTAACGTTGTATCAACAGTTTTGTAGCGGTGACAGGAAGTAAACATACTAAACCATGTTCTTGTAGATGAGGGCGAAACTGACAACGAGGACGTGCCAGGAGATGTTGCCCATGACCATGTGCAATCTTCCATGCACTGTTGCATCGAAGCTGCAGAGGAAGCCTGCAAAACAGCCTTTGCCGAAACGTGCTCGTATGCGTGCTGCTGCTGCGACCGCAGACTGTTTAAGCATTCGGTTGTGGAGGTCACGGACAGCTTGTACAACACCCTCTGTGAGCCATGGGCAACAAATGTTGCAGGATGGGTTACGCGTGGTGGCTCGGGGCATATATGCCATACGTGCTTAGGCAGCATCCGTAGGGATCGCTGCCCACGGTTTTCAGTTGACAACGGGCTTGGATTCCCAGACATTCCTGACGAGCTTCAAGGCATCCCTGAGCTGTCAGAGAGGCTCATTGCCAGGCGTGTACCCTTCCTGCAGTTGCGAAGGCTTCCAGCTGGGCAACAGCATGGCCTACGAGGTAGGATTTGCTTCATGCCACAGTGTACCTTTTCTGTCCCACAGACAAGCATGTGCTTTGAACCCCCCCACTGCTACTTTGGACTGTGCGTCCACTCCAAGCAACCCCTCCAGGACATCCAGGGCCGCACCGTGGCTTCCCGTGAGCTGACGCTGGTGGCCCCTAACAACGACTCGCCCACCTACACGGACACCCACAGCATCGCCATCTCGCTTTGGGGGTGAGCTAGGGAAAGATCGGGAAAAGTGCTTCCTGGGCATCATGTCTATTACCTAGATTATTACCCAGGGGAAAGCGGCTGTATACAAAAACATTTCCACGGTGTGCAACCAAGGAGTGTCTTTAATAAATCCATGCGTGAGTGCCACCTCCGGCCAGCGAGGCCGTTCTCCCTTACTAGCAAAGGGTTGGTGACCCACGGGTCTTACAACATGCAGCAGGGGTGACAATCGGAGGCATGCAAGAGGGCAAGGGTACTGCGGATGCGGGCCACAGGCGCAAGCGCGCAGATCCCAAATCAGAAACCTGCTATTTTCAGAAAACACAACCTACTACCTGCTTGGGCTGCGTAATAGAAAAAAAAACTCTGCTTTTAAGGCCGCGCAAGATGACACGCGGCATTATTGCCCATGACTTGCTTGCTCGTGATGCCGCCTCGCGTCTCCACCACGCAGGGACCTGGCCAAGACGGAGTGGAAGGTGGGCCAAGTGCTTCTCGTGCTCAACGCCGCCACCCGAGTCTTCAGGACTGGGAGCGCGGTCAACTACAGCCTCACCACCCGCGCCATCACAAGCATCCAGACGGCTACGGAGCCCATGGCCCGCTTCACGGATATCAGCAGCACCAATTTCGCATTCCAGGTATGGCAACACCTTGCTAAATATCCAGCTGGGACCGGCCACTTGGGTACACAGGTAGCCAACTAACGTTCCGGCCACCATTCCACCGCTTTTACGCACCCATCTCTCCTGCCCAACCCTGCAGAACGCTGGTGAGGTGTCCAACGCCTGCAGGTCCAAGAAGCTGACGGAGGCCATCAGTGCTGCGGCCCGGCACCCACTCCACAACGTGTACGTGAGCCATGTGCGGCTGCAGATCAAGGTCCTGCACAACGTGAACAACCCCTTCAGCTACAACTGCACGGAGCCAACCTCCCCAAACAACCAGCCCTGCGGCAAGCGGCTCCAGGTTTCCGAGGACTCGACCTTCACGTGAGTGTGGCACGGGAATATGCTTACCAGCGTGACTCCAGACTTCTGCTAGTTTGTTTCAACAATGCGTGTACCAGCCCCGCTACCATTACTGCTGCCTTGAACCACCCGTTACTCTGCGCTTCCCAAAACCCAACACGCCAGGTGCTCGGTCCACGGCAAGCTCAAGGGTGGCCCCAGCACCTTTAGCAAGTACATCCTCACGGGCTTGGCGCCCGACTGCAGCGTGGATGGCACCTCGTACAGTGTGGAGCTCCACTTCCACGACATGGCCATCCATCGGTTCCTGGGATTCCCGGCTGGCAAGGCCAGCGTGATCAAGATCAGCAGCGACCGCAAGTACGCCAAGCTGGTCCTGACGCCCCTCCTGAGCCTCTCGGATGGCACTCTCATCATCCGGGACGCCACCCTGCGCACGTGAGTCCATGCGGGAAAAGGTGGCAGCTCTCAAAGCCTGCTGACAACCCCTGCTGTGCCCCTGCTAAAAACACGCAATGCCCAGAGTGTGCACCTTAAGTCCTTGCCTAATTCACACACCTAAACGGCGCAGCATTCCAACAACCGCCCTCCCCGCCACCCCACCCACCCCACCCACGGCCAGTTACAACAACCACTCGTACATCTACATCCGTGAGTTCCAAAAGGTCGCGGATGAAGATGCGGGTGACGCCCATGGCAGCCAGCACGCTGCCGCCTCGGAGGAGGCCGCCGCCAGCGACGGCTCCATGGACTGCTCGGACAGCGGCCACCACAGTGGCGCCGTGGACCTGGCAAGCAGTGAGGAGCAGCAGCACACAGCGAGCGGGGACGAGGGTAGTGATGGCGTTGGGGGGGACACGGACGAGGATGTGTCCGATGTAGATGACGAGGAGGACGAGAGGGCCAGCAGCAGCAGCATGGCGGCGTCGGAAGATCCCGTGGAGGACACGGACACTAGTGAGGGAAGCAGTGATGAGGATGGGGATGCAGATGGAAGTGGCTCTGCCTCGGAGGGCGGCGAGGAGGACACTGACGATGACAGCACCTAAATGCATGCACACAACATCGTAAGGCCCGCCTGAGCGGCTGATGGAATGGGTGTTGGGCACATGCAACTAGGCGGGGGTGGTGCTGCGGGTACCGGGCAACTGACAGCTAGGACAAAGGGGGGAAGGGCCCGAACCTGTACCTGTACTGGGAGGGTGGATCACACACTGTTGGCGAAAGAAATATTGGGGTACAGCTGGGTGGACTTGCAAGTGGTACCTGGTAACGTGTCGCTGGGCAACCGCAGTATTGGTCATGGTAGCAAGCAGGTAACGACTGCCGCTGTTCAGCGCGCCGTCATTACACAAGCAACGCAGCCCTATCTGTAACTGTACCTAACAGCATGACCGAACCGCTGCAGTCCGACCACACACACTACTATACACAACTATACACAACACATGGGCAGGCCATGAGATCGCTTCGGTGTCGTGCCCCATCGTTGGCTCGTGCAGTTTGTGGTCACGGGTGGTGACGCTCGCGGGCATGTCCCATGGTTCAGTTGGATGATGACGGTGCGAATTGCTACTGCCGAGGTGACTGAGTGGTTCCGGTTATAATGGCTGGTATTATCGCAGTTCCTTTGCTTTAAGTGTTGTGGGCTGTGGAGAGATCGCTCTGGCGTGTCCAGAGTATCTGTCGTACAAGTGCCTGTCTTGTTAGGCGGCGCAGTGCCCGGGCTAGGGCACTGCGTTTTGCTCACATACTCATGTACTGCCTGTAAGAACCATGAAGGGCTTCATGCGCTCCTGATCTGCGGCGCAGATCTGCAGCTTACATGCGCGCTTAAACGTAGTCACAAACAGCGATCTCCCAAGCGTTGGGCAGCCCAACGTAGCAGTCAAAATAGACAGTAGGTTATCAGTTCCCCGTGGGCCTGGTCAGTCCGCGGCTCAGCCGTCTTGAAGCCCGCCCCAGCACGGGACGAGAGGCGCTGAGGAGCGCTCTACGTCTACAGCAAGACTAGGAGTGCGCCTTCCGGTTACGGGAGGCAGAGTCGGAGGCCCCGCCGCCGCCGGGTGAGGCTGCGGTGCTGCGGGTGGCGGACCTGCCTTTCCAGCAGGGGGGGCAGTGGCTTGTGGTGGGGCATTGGGGCAGCGGGGGAGATTGGGGTGAGGCGGACATGCTGGCTTGGTTGTGGGGGGGAGTGCGGACCCCGGTGGCACTAGAGGGCCAAACCAGCGTTGGGGCACGACATCGGTCTGGTTCGTTACGTCGCTTTCTCCCGGGGAATTTCGTTGTTTTGTGTCCAGTTGCTGCCAGCCTTTTGTAGTCAACGCTAGTCAATTGAGGATAGCCCTTGCCGTCTAGAGCTTGGGCTGGCTGCCTTACCGCAGTCTAGGTGCGGATATTCGTCGACGTTGACGATTTCATGATTCTGGGCCACACCCATGCGGACGTGGTGGGGGCTTTCCAGGTCATGGATACGGTGGGCACGGAGCTGGGCCTCGAGTGGAAGGTCAGCAAGGACCGCGGTCGGGAGGAGCCCAAGCAACAGCTGGAGTTCCTAGGGCTCTTGTTTGAAACCGTGAGGGGGGAGCTGAGAATATAACCAGACAAGCGGCAGCGCGACGTACAGTCGCTCTTGGAGCTAGAGGAGGTCGCAGGCCGCCTTACCTTCATCGCGAGAGCCTGCCAGTGGGGCTACAACCTCCAGGGCATTTACGACACGGGTCTACGGGGCTGGGGGGCTGCGGGTCTACGGGGCTGCGGGCCATGGGGCTACAACTGCAGCGGCTACACCTGGCCATTGTCACCACTCCACCATGACAAGCCCGTGTTGCACACAGTGCACATGCAAGAAAGATGTTATACCAAAAACGTCATATAAGTCCTTAGGCTGTGCAGTGTGTAAGGCAAGGCCAGCCCCACTTCACCACATGGCACAGGACCGACCGGACTGGAGTACCCGCAGTTGTCCTGTTCTTGCTGTTGGTATGCATGGGCAATCACCGCTGCCTTTCAGACCCTTTGCAATGGTACATGCTATCAGCTTCCTTTTGGAGGTCTTTAATATAGTACTTGGTGAACGGCTGACGAAACGGCCCTTGGCCAAGTGACGAGATTATGTGCGGACTTTTCATATCGAAAAGGCTAACTTATTGTGACGAATAAGCCAGGAATGTGGAAGCAGGTTCCTGCGCACATGCCGTATAACGCTGGTGTCGTACAGCGATCGGCGGCTGGGCCTCTTTTCCGGCTCTCAGCGCACTGCCTGGTTAACTGCCGTTGTGTAGACTAATCTTTTTAGGCGTTGTCCCTCTGCCGGGACGTGGCCTCTATCTTCCCACCCGCCCACCCGGGCGGGCCGGGGGTTTTATGGCTGTAGGTGTGTTTCCCGTTCCTATACGGGTGTTTGGTGCAACAGACTGTCTTCACTGCCGGCCACTAGTTCAACTTAAACAATGGGGCGTTGACGAGGGAGGGCTTTGCCATGGAGTTCTATGTTGCAACGAACGGTTTGCATTTGTTGCGTTGCAACGGACAATTTGCAATGGATATTTCACAATGGTTAGTTGGGCACCGGTTGGTTGGCCTGGTTCGGGCGCGACCTGCTGTAACATGACTGGCGTTGAGGCACAATAAGCCTACCAGTGCACTCCAGCCCCATGGTCATTCATAAACTGAGGTGTGCTGCATTCTCAACCTTCCTACACTCCCTTGAGCCTGCTAACCAGGCCTCTCCCACTACAGAAGCGTAAAACCGGTGAAACAACTGCAGCACTTACCCCTACCCAGCCGCCTGCTCAGGACCACTTCACGTTGGCGCCCCCTAAGGCTCACACGGCATGATACGTCCACATCGCGCCTGGCTCCTGACCCCAAACATCCGCATTCTCGCCACCATGTCTCCTCCCATGTGGCTGGAACCTTTACACCTTTACTGCTACATCCATTCCTAACCTCCCGCTCCATGTGCCGCTACAGACAGCCTCTAGCTGGTATGAAGCTTCCTGCCAACAATGCACCCCTTTCCCCCCTCACTGCATCATGCTCAGCACCGCAGCCTGCACGTCTCCGTGATGCCGTACCAGCAACTCAATGGCGGCCCCCCGCGGCAGCTCCAACACTTCCATCACCTGCAGTACAGCAGCCTCGTCGTACATGTCCGCGCTGCCACCACCGCCGTCACCCTCGCTGACGTCCTCCTCATCGTCGTCGTCAGCATGATGCATGACCTCCTCGTAACCAAAGCCTCCGCGGTACTCTACCTCGCCGCCGCCGGCATAGCCTATGGCAGTGGCTCCGCCGCCGCCGGCAACAGGCCCCATGCCGCCGCTGCCAGCACCTCCGGGCGGCCCCATGCCGATGAGCAAGGCTCCCAGCGTGTCTCGCCTATATATGTCCTCGCCTGCACACAACGCCGCAGATAGGGGAGGGGCACCATTGCGGCATCCCATTCAGTCCAGGACCATCCACCCTGTGCCTTCGCATGCCCTTTCATTTGCTATTACAAAATTTTGTTACCATCCGCTGCCTAGCATAACCCCATCCACTGCTGTCCCCCCTTACTTTCCGCCCATCCATGTCCGGCCGTCACTCATCCAAACCCCGTAACGGATTCGCCTACCTTCCCTGCCCTCCATGGGCCAGGGCGGCACGCGGGCCCCCATCATCCGTAGATGTTGCCGCTGACGCTGCATGCTACTCATAATCGGAGCCCCACCAGCAGCCGCACCCAGCTCAGCACCACTGGCGCCGGAAGCCGACCCTGGCGCCGCGACACAGCCGACTGTTTAGGCGCATGGTTTAGGCAAAAGTTGGGGAGGGGCATGGCACTGATCGCTGCACTTATTCCGCATCGGATCATGCTTGCTTATGTGTGTTGCGGCGTTGGTCACAGGCCCGTCCACACCTACCGCGTAAATTGCCGGGCTTGCTCTTATGCGGTGTGGTGATACTACATTTCACCTCTGGGGGCAGCGGCCACACAACAAGGAGCCGCTAAGCTCATGCAGCCGCTTTGGTACCCGACCCCGCAGCCTCCCGCCGCCCCCACCCCGGCTACCGCTCACAGCCCTACCTTCCGCCGTCCCGGCGGCTGCTGCTGTCCCATGCAGCGCACCTATCCTCATGCCGGCCGCGAAGGGGTCCTCGGACAGGCGCTCCGAGCGCATCCAGGTGCGGTGACTGGCCAGCAGCACCTGCAGGGGGAAGAGGGGAGGGAGGGGAAGGGTATGGAAGAAGAAAAAGCCCATTTTCCCAGAACCGAAAACAGGAACCAAACAGGGGCCACCACACGAGGACCAACAGCATAAGATATCGAACATATGTGCTCCCTGCACAAACCCTGCAGCTTCATACGGTGCTTCTACCATAGACATGTCATGTCCAGGGTGAATATTGAGTTGCCCAGTGAACTACATACCCGCCTACCGCTGCAAAAGACTACCTCAGACTAATGATGAACGAAACCAAAGCACATATTCGCAAACAAATACGAAGCGACAGCTGAAGACGCTAGCACGCAAGGCCTAGGGACAAGTTGTCACGCAGTGCGGCTATCAGTTACAAACAATAAGGGCGTGGAATGAGGGCAGCAGTAATGCAATGAATGGCATGAAATGAGGACAGCCGGCGAGCAAGATGGGAAATAGAATAACAACATGGGGTTGCGAAGAAGTTGTAGCTCGACCTGTCCACGACCGTCTCCAGCCACTCCATACACCCTGGGACGCCCCCCACCCATCCACCCCATATACCCCTCCCTCCACTCCCCACCTCCATGAGCGCCACCAGTCGTGGCCCCCGCAGCCCCAGCCGCGGCTGCAGCGCCGCCACCACCTGCCCCGCCACCGCTACCAGCGAGCAGGCAGCACCGCCACCATCACCGGCAACAGCAGCAGCTGCCACCCCCGACCCCACCACCGCTCCAGTGGCAGCGCCCTCCTCCGCACCCTCCGCCCCTGGTAGCAGTGCAGCCATGGCGTCCTTGAGCCGCGGCAGCAGGGTCGGGTGCGCGCTGGCCAGCGGGGCGAGCTCGCTGTGGGAGGGGTGCGAGGGAGGGGTGTGGGGGAGGGGCGAGTGGAGGGGTGTGAGGAAGGGGCGTAAGGAGGGAGGGGTATGATGGAGGGGCGCAAGGAGGATGGGAGGTGGGGCGGGGCAAGTGGGAGGTGGACAGTTGCAACCGAGCTGCCGGGAGGGCCGTCGAGGTGCGATGGCCGCACAACACCGTATGCGAGCCGACGGACCGGCACGGGGACCAGCGGACAGGCCCCATGCTCCCCGAGCTACGTGCAGTCCCCCATCCTCCACCCCCTCACCTCCTGGCCAGCCCCAGCGCCTCCCCCAGCCGTCCCCCCGCCAGCAGCCGCCCGTACTGCCACCGCCGCACGCCGAACAGCAGCGCGGGGTGGTCGGACCAGAAGCCCGGGTCGGCGGCACTCACCAGCGAGCACACCGCCTCCGCGTCGCCCGCCTGGGCCAGCTGCACCAGCCGGCTCAACAGCTCCCGACCCTGCAAAGGAGGCTGCGAGGAGCCGTCACCGCCGCCGCTGCCGTTACCATCAACCCCGAAACCGTTGCCGGCGGCTCCTCTCCCGGCGTCCATGGCTACACCTCCGCCACTCAGTTCCCCGCTGCTGCCTGCCCCCCCGCCCGGGTGCTGCTTTCCCTCCTGAGGCCGAAGGTGAATGTGATGCAGCCGTCGCTGCTGCTGCTGCAGCAGCAGCTGCTGCTGGTCGTCAGGGGCGGAGGTTGAGGTTGAGGGCCCCTGCTGCTGCGGCGGCGGATGCACAGCTGCCTCTCTCCCCTCCGCCGCCGCTGCCGCTGTCCCAGCTCCCGCGCCCTCCTCATCCGCGGGAGGCGACCAGCGGGGTATCTTCGCGGGTGGACTACTGCCTGCCTCCGCGCGCCCCGGCCGCCCCGCCCAGGCCTGCCTCACCTCCCTCCCTCCCCCTGCTGCTGCTCCCCCAGCAGCCGCCGCTCCTCCCCCCTCCGCCGCCTTCACCTGCAGCGCCCCCTCCTGCCGGCCCCCCAGCAGCCCCCGCACGCCGCCGTACTCCAGCACCAGCTCCGCCAGCAGCGGCTCGTGCAGCACCAGCCGACCCACCTCTAGCCGGAAGGCGGACAGGGGGTTGCCGCCTGAGGGCGGGAGGGTAAGGGAAAGGCAGAAGAGGTTGGGTCCACGTAATGTCCCGCCCTGCCACACCTCCACGCCCAATCTCCCAAGCCCCTTCCCCCTGCACGCGCATGGCTCCCTCCCTCCCTTCCCTTCACCCCGCCAATTATCGTGTGGCGGGCAACCCTCTCTACCCTGCCCCTGCCCTGTGTTCGACTATCATCCACACACCCGCGTGCCTCAGCGCTTCAAGTGCTGCCGCCCGGGTTGTGGCCGCCCCCTGGATCACCGCCTGCACGGCAGCTTCGGGGAAGGAAGCGGGCTGCGGAACGACACCGCCACTGCCGCCTGCAGCAGCCGTGGCGGAGGAGGCCGCGGGCGGCAGCGGTGGGGGGTCCCGCAGGAGGGCGCTGGTGCTGAGGGGGACGCGAACGCCGCAACCGGCAAACCCGAGTGATTGTTCGGGTGGCTGCAGGCAGAGCAGCCGCGGTACGAGCTCCCCCGCCACCGCCGCTGCTGAGGAGGCGGTGCCGCTGCCGCTGCTGCTGGCGGCTGTGGTGGTGTTGGGAGGCGGGGGCGGCGCTGCGAGGTGCAGTCGGAGCAGGTAGCGCAGCAGCAGACCCAGCTGCGGGTGCTGCAGACCTGGGCAGGTGAAGCGGGGAGGAGGGGGGAGACAGTGTTGAGCTGCATGGGGGCAGGCGGGGCAGGTGGAGCTAGGAAGCTGCATGGTGGCAGGCGACCTGCAGCAGGCACGACGACAAGCACAAGAGGAGGTGCCGGTAGGGCGCGACCAGATGGCAAGCCCCTGATGGATCCGCCCGCCCTTCCCGCCCAACACTCCAGCCGCTCCCCCTCTCTGAGACCCCTCACCCAGCATGTGCCGCACGGTGAAGTAGGCCAGGTCCACGAAGTCTCCGCTGGACTGCTGCATCTGCTCACCATGCTGGGCGGGAGACATGGGCGGGGCCTCCACACCGCTGCCGATATCACCGTCCGCAGCAGGTGCGGCAGCAGCGGAGTGGGATGCAGCGCCGCTCTGTCGCCCCGCGTCACCGGGTGGCTGCAGTAGCATCAGCAGCAGGCGCTTGAACTCTCCGTAGGCCTCCGGGTAGGCGTCGAGTGCCAAGGGGGCCAGCTCGCTGCGGGCGCAGGCTGCAAGAAAGGAGGAAGAGGGGGAGGGAAGGAGGGAAGATAGGCGGTGGTGGTCCATGTACGACGGAGTAGGGTTCAAGGCAGCAGACATAGCTTCCCAAAAGAAGACGCTAGGAGGAGTGTTTCTAGCGCATAACATGCTATAGTAGGAGGACAAGCCAGGCCTTATGCCGCGGGGGCTCAAAGCACCACTTACCTAGGGCTGCCTCAGGGCCTCCGCCTGAACGCAGTAGCTCGATAAACTTTTGTTTCTTGGCACGGAACATAAGCCGCACGTCCTGCGTTATAAATGTCCATAGTGAGGAGTGTTCGTCGTGGAACAACGCGCTTGCGTTTAGTGCGCAACATGCCTTCCAACGGCCGGATTGCTCACCTCTAACGCAGTCGGGCAAATTTCGCGCATAACAGCAAGACCAGCATCCACATCTCCATCCAGAAAGAGCTGGCGCATGGCATTGCATCTTTCCCAAGCGCCCGTGGTCTGCAGGGCCCGAAGTATGGTTGGAAGCACGTCAGAGAAATCGAAAAATGCCCTAGTCAGTGAGCTTCTAAGCAACCAACCTGACCCAGGATGCCCTCTGCATAGTCCTTGACGAGCTCATCAAGGACTGGCAGGGAAAGCTCTTGCTCCTTCGCCATTGCCTCCCTGACTTCAGATTAGCAGCACCAGTCTGTGTATTCCTATAAATGACAAACAAGCAATTGTTTACGAAGTGAGCGACATGTTTTCTGCCTTAGTATGTACCTCAACACCCAAACTAGGGTTAAGAATTAAGCAAAGCTGTTATATGTTAATAAGAGGCAGGATAAACGCAAGGCGTACAGGATATTTTCTTATTGCACAAATGACCAGAACTTCCATTGTAACTGACCACTGTCGTACGGCCCAATCGCGCCCAAAGGCCCAATAAGTAGTACAGAACGCGGCGGCCGTGTAGGAATGTGACAATGTTTGCCTTTGTTCACAGTCGACTGATATTGACGAAAGGGATTGGGGCCTCACGGCACAACCCTGCTGCGGGGAAGGTGTGCATGCATGTCGCCGTATGCGGACGAGGACGACATGTACAGAGCCAAGAGCACACACTGATACCGACGGATCTCCAGGAACGTGCCCTGCGGGACAGGTACTTTAATCAGTTCCTGCTGCACATCACAAGATCGCCGAGGTTTCACTTCACCGCAGCTGGCGTTGTGGCAGAGCTCCCTCGGGTTTACCCGTTACCCTTGCCGCGTATGCTGCCACCCGAGCAACAGTGCCAACTCAGCACGCAAAACAGCTCCCTACCTAGCATGCACCCACGTGCTAGCCAGCGTACATAGCAAATACACATGGGTTGCTGTAGTTCGCTGACTAATGCAGTGGCAGCTACTACAAAAGTAAAGCTAACGGCTGATAAAAGAATTGTCTTATACAGGTCCCCAAAATCATATTGCTTGTCGGGGCCCTGCTGATCAGATTGCCGTCAACTCATGTAGCGAGCGAGCTAGATAGCCGCCGTACAGTGTGAGTTTCCCTTACCAAAGCTTGCAGTGATTAGAAATAAACTCACTTACCTACTCCATTAGCAATGTTAATGGTAACATCATGCAAACGTTGAGCTGTCGCTGTGCCGGCCACTTGAGCCATTGAGGGCTAGCAACAGATGGGTTGCTCAGACAGCAAATATCAAAAACAGGCCGAGGAAGCTGTGAGTTTTTTGCAGGTCACTGGTTAGGTCTGACCTCACTGGTTTAGGCGGCCATTAGGTATTCACATGCAGGGTTTCGCCCGCAGTTTTTCGAAGAGCAGAGAAAAGCAAGGCTAGCTGCCACTGCGGCAGCGTCTTTCGAAGCAACCTCATCCGGGGCTCGCGGCCCAAAAGTCGTGGTGAGTCGGCACCATGGACCGTTGGCATGCGCACCGTTAGCAAGCTACAATTTTCCTTCGCGCAGGCAAGCAAGTCAACCAATAGAAGAGCCAAATATAATTCACCTTCCTCATTTTTAATTGATGACGCCAATGAGCTGGCGAGCATTTGTAAGGAACTCCCAAGATTGCCCGGCTCGGTGTCCAGCATAGTTAGTGCCAAGAGCATGACTCAAAATAGGGTAAGTACTTGTATAAAATGCCTTTGTGTTCACCATGGATAGCGTCTACCCTGCCGAGTACTTGGTTTCAAATACAATTACCGGTAGCCCGGTCCATGGGTACCATCCCACATCAGTGCCCCGATATTTCGGGATCGGAACGGGCATCCACAAACCATGTTTTCTATTATTTTTCTTCCACAGAGCCTAAGCGTGAGTGCCGTATTCCGAGCGGCTCTCGAGGACCAGTGCGAGGTCGCCCTGACCGCGGAAACATTGCCGCGCGTCGTGAACCTCATTCTCAAGGTAACCGCTTCTCAGAGCTCCACATGTAGGTAGATGCCGTCATGTTTGCCTTTGCGCAAGCAACCAATGCCGTCGACCCAGTTTGATTAGGCTGCCGCGGACTGGGCGTAGACTACCGTAACCGTTGACGGCCCACTACATGCCCGCCTCCAAACCTAGGATCCCCATATTTATCCCCTTGCCTCCGCCCTGTACCGTTTCGCCTTACCCATCCTCTTCTCCTCACGCCCCGTCTCCATTAGGCCCTGGACAAGGACGCCAACGGCACTATCCAGCTCACCGACCTGCGCCGATTCATGCAGGGCATGTGCCGGGACGCGGGACTGCAGGTACCTGAAGGATGTAAAAGGGAGGGCGGAACGCGGGAGCTATTGTAGGGGAGGGCGTAGCTAGGAAGGGAGCTGACAGAATTGGGTGCGGTGCCTCACACCACGGCCATGCCGCCTAACCGCGTTTCCTCAATACGCCCTTTCCTCTTCCCACCCCCTCTCACACTGCTTCACCTACTCCTCCGCGGCTCCTCTCCTGCAGCCCCCCCCCGCCGAGCAGGTTGCGGAGGTGTTCCAGCAGCTTGACCTGGACCGGGACGGGTCCATCAGCCGTGGCGAGCTGGCGGCAGTGTTGTTCAGGTGGGGGCAGGTGGGGGGTGGGGCACGAGGGACCCCTTTGTGAATGGGTGTTTACCAACCGAGGTGCAGGGCTCTGTTTTGCACTTGCTGCACATGGTGTCTGCGTTCGCGTGCTCCGCTGCCTGGGCCCTGCTGCTGTATTTAGCTGTCAAGGGGTTCGCGGCGTGGTGCATGTCCTCCTGCCCCGGCCCCCCTCACAGGTGGTTCGTGGTGGGCGTGTGCTAGTCACCTGGCTGGTGCGGGACATGGCGGCTCAGAACGGTGACAGCTGCAGAACGGTGATAGCTGCAGGAGGTGAGATGGGAGTGCAACGCCAGCAGACCGATTAAGACTCGCAGCTGGAGTAGGCCGGAGGAAGGGAGGACGATGTCAGGACATGTTGCGGGGGTGGAGCCGCGTGCGGTGACAGGTTGACGCTCGCTGTGAGTTGCGGCGCTGAGCAGCTGAGTATGACCTTGCATTGAGATAACCAAGAGACTAGCGCGCGATGTGTATCGAATGCAGCTCATGCTTGAAATTGTAAGGGGCTAAAACCAGGGGGTGTTCTATCTCTGAAACAAAGCATGAGTACGCGTTGACAGACATCACTGCGACCACGTGTAGAGGATTTCGAGGGACCAATAATGGCATGCGCCCAGGAATTCGGCAATTTTAAGCTGTAGGAGTGATTCAATGACCGTAAATGGGTTCCCCCAAAGGGAAGGCGGGTGTTGAACCCAACCGTACACAGTAGTGTTGTTCCCCGTTTGCCATTGTGAGAGTGTAAGGGCGCAGAGATGGCGCCATGGGGCCGTTGCGGGGCCCTGCGCAGTGATGACTTCATGTTGCTCTAGGGGAAATCTCAAAGACTGACGCCGCATGCTTGCTCGACGAGACTCACCAACACTGACTCTTTGCAGTACCTGGCTCCTACATGCAGTACCTGGCCTGGCGTTCACAAGGCCTGGGGCTAAGCTAGGATGACCGACACTTGTGAAGCATGGGATTGCTGACACTAAGCTTGCTTCTGAGGAATGGCGGCAGTCGTCACTGTGTATTGCTGTTGCTGCCGTGGGTGAGCTCCATGTGTAGGCATGCGCCGTTTTAATGTGGCACGGCGTACCCTTGCGCGGACCACCGGGACTCTACGCCAGGGACTACGTGTGGCATAATCTGCTGATAGTTGTTGCTAATTTTGTGGTGGGGAGTCTTGCCCATGTTGGTGCCGTTGTGAGTAATACACCAAGACATAAACAACCCGTTGGGACATACGAACCTACACACACCATGCGCACTTTGAAGTTTCTTTATGGCGTAGTGAAGAATGTGAGACGTGACACGCGGGACGCTCTAGCGTATGTACGAACCCCGGCTCCACAGATGATGAGATGATTGTACGTTTGCATGAGAGGGACGTATGGCTGGCAGCGCCTGTACGCGCCCCAGCGTGTCGCTCCGGAGTGCACATGCGCCCGTCACGTGTATCTGGTATTCTACCCTTCTCTCATGCCGGTATACGAATATGTATGCCATATCTACATCCACGTCCGTCCTGCCAGCTGCCTCATCTTCCAAGCACAACCCGATCCCCCAATCTCCCCATCCCTAAGAGCCACCCCGCACGGGCCAGCCTGGGAAGGCTCCTATTGGACCCACCTCCCGCTAGCTGCTGCCCTGCTGCCGCAACCCCTGCTGGTATGCCCACAACTGAAGCGGCGGCAACTGCAGCGGCTGCAGCCACCAATGCCATGGCTGTGGTTCTAAGAAGGCAGCCATAGCTCCCATACCTTCCATGTATGCTGTATCTGCCACATTGCCTAAACCTGCTGTTGCAGTCCGAAGTCGCCCCTCTTGAGCGCATCGTAGTCGTTTACCTCGCGCGCGGGCCCGCCGCCGCCCAGCTCCATTACCTCGCCCCCCAGTGACAGGCCGCCCATCATGTCTCGCACGCTCACCACCTGGAGGGCAGGGCGGGCAGGGAGTGCGCGGTGGGGAGGGATGTGGGGGAGTCAGGGTTGGGGAAGCGTATAAGGACGCAGAGGTATTGTACGACATCAAGCTGGCCGCATGAGGGGTGGTAATCAGGCTGCACCACCTCATCTCACCGGACCCGTAAGGTTGTGTGACGGCAACTCCGCCTGGGTAAAGGTTGAGGCTCTCGTCAGAACTGCGTCCTCCCTCCGTCCCTCCCACCAGTCCCCCATGATGCCCCCTGCAATACGGCTTCGGCCCCCGCCTCCGTATACCTGCCCCGCCTGACCTGCTTAGTCACCACCCGCTGCGAGTGCTGCCCCCAGGGGTGGTCGCAGTTGCACACCCAGGGGCTGTCGAAGGCGCCGCAGCGGCACCCCGCCTTGGCGCAGGCGCGGCTGGCGGCGTCGTGCTCCACGTGCTTGTGCTTGCACCTGGGGACACCAGGGGGGCGGGTGGGGTGGGGCGAGCGTAGGAGGAGTGGAGGAGTAGGTGGGAGAGGCCCTGCTGCTGGAGCCGTTAGCCGACAACCTCTCCGGCAACGCCCCCCTGACCCGCTGCCACCACCACCCCGCCGCCGGGATTGGGACTGTGTTGTTGCACTTATTTATAATCCCCCCCCCGGCCGCCCGGGCTTCTTGTCATAACCCCTGCCCGGGTCCCCCACTGCCCCCACCTGCACCTCAGCACCCAGGACCCCTCCGCCACGATGTAGAAGAAGCCGCGACACCCGCACTTCGCGGACTTGCACCTTAGGGAGGGGGGAGGGGGACAGAGGATATGGGGATGGGGCTTGATAGTAGAAGTGAAGAGGCGTGAAGGAAGGGTAAGGGAGGGGTGAGGGGATGGGAGGTGACCCTGCACCCGCTGCCCCACGCACCGCCCAGCACTGATGGCGACCACCGTGAGCGACATAGCGCCACTGTTCGCGGCCTTGCACACAGGCTGCATGCCGTACGCACCTGGAGGGTGCCGCGGAGCTGGCGGGCTCGTGCTCGCGCAGGCGGTGGCCGCACAGGCAGCGCGACTCGCTGCGCACCGGCACGCACTCGCGCTGGCATACATCGCAGAGCCAGGCGAACGATTCCACAGCGCGGGTGGGCAGCGGGGCCTCGGGAAGTGGCTGGGGCTGAGGCTGGGACACTTGGGCTGAAGCAGTTGCGGGGTCTGGGGGTAGTTGCGTGTGAGATGCGATTCAGAAGCTAAGTGTCGACTGCTGAGGGAGGTTGGAGGGAACGGACTGATGGGGAGCTCCCCACAAATCATGCCAACAATCGCCTTAAACCAGGGGATGATGGTGATGCTTACTTGGGAGTGCAGCCTCTGTGGCTGCGGTCTTTGTCGAGCTTGCAGGGGAGAAGCCCGGAGCAGGTTCAGGGCTTTCGCTACCGGCTCCAGCTGCAGTAGCTTGTTGTCTCCGAGCCTTAAGATTTGCCAAAGCACTTGCTTTTGATACGTTATTCATGTTGGCGGTTCTGACAGATGTTGTCTTGCTTGTTGGGCTAGAGATGCATTTACATGGGCAGGGTGGCTCAGGAAGCTGGTGCTGAAAGAAACTGCACAAGATTGCGCTGTAAACCGTATCTCAAGTTGTCTATTGTTTTCCAATTCTGCTATAACAGCCTAGAGCGCTGACCTGGCGTAAGAAGCTTAAGCGCCGTATCCCGTAACGCGTAAGGATGATGGTGTTTTCGCCAATAAAAAGTACCCTTTGCAACGTGTACATAAAGGACTAACCTCCTGCTAATCTGTTTCATGATGCTGCCACGCAGCACCAGATATGTACCGTGCGTAGCTAAGTTCTTCCCAAGCAGAGGCTGAAGGCAGGCAGAAACATACTAAGATCCTCTCCCGTAACAACTTAGCAATCCGGATACAGCGCTGATGTCAGTTAGGCCATGCCAGCTGCAAGCAAATTTTCGGCTCCCGCGGACATAGCCTTAACCACTTCACCAACCGCGGCGCGGCATGCTCTGATTCTTGGCCTGCATCATCGCCCTTTCCACGTTGCCTTGCGCCAACTCCCAGGAATTCGTCATCATCCGGCGCGCACTCATCGTCTCACCCGTGTCCGCGTCGGCCATCGACCGGAAGCCGCATGTAGCGCTTTTTTTCCTATACCCCGACAACTATGTATAGGCCTAGCATCTCAAAGCAACTACGCTCTGACCAAGGCCAGGGCACTTCGATCCAGAACTGCTCCTCGGGCACTGCCATCCCGCAATGATGCCGGACGCAACGCCGACGGGGTGCACAAAACCGCCTCCCGCGCGGAGGAGGATGGCTGGGGCGAAGCAGCTGACGGCGCCGGTGGCGGTGGCGAGGAGGCTGCTGGCGGTAGCCGCATGACGCGCATGTTGGCGCTGGCTGGTGCCGTGCTGCTGGAGCTGCTGGTGACCGGTGAGGGTTTGGTCCGGCACAGGGGGCTGGGGGAAGGGGGAAGATAAGAAAAGCAGCCGAGGGAGGGTAGTGAGTGAGGGGAGTTGAGGGAATTTGGACACTTGGGAGCAGGGCTTTGGAGCTGCCATGCTCCCAAACCAGCAAACCAGCAAAGAACACGCGAAGTGCGCTAAGCCCCTACCCCCTACCCCCTGCCAAGCGGTCTAACGCTAACGCTGCTAACGCTTTCCTCCTCCACCCCAACCCACCCCTCTCCACTCCAGGCTCCCTGGTATGGACCCCTCTGGCGGCCGCCGCCCTCGCCCTCCTGGCCCTGCCCGCCGCCTCGGCCGCTTCCGCCGCCGCTGCGGAGGCTCGCCTTTCGGAGGCTGTACGGCAGGCGGAGGCGCGCGCACGTGCTGAAGCCGCAGCTCGGGTGCCTGTGACTCCCCCCGAGAGCGCCGTGTGGATGGGGCGGCTGATGGGCGAGCTGTGGGGCCCCTACGTGGCGCCCATGCTGCTGTCGGAGAACCTGGTGAACTGGGGCGACAAGGTGCGGCGCGCGGCGCCCCCCGGCTGGGAGCTGGAGCTGGCGGAGATGAACATGGGGCGGCAGGGGCCGCAGATGAGCAACTACCAGGTGGGGGCAGCTGGGGGAGGAGGGAGGGGGGGAGAAAAGAAGAATTCCAAGGGGGGAGGGGACAGAAGGCGAGGGGAGAGGGAGGAGAGGAGGAAAGCTAGGGGGTAGCGGGCAGTAGGGGAGGGGAAGTCCAAGGGGTGCCGGGGGAGCCGGGGGGAAGCGGAGCTGGTGTTGGGTGGCGGAAAAGTAGGTAAGGAGGAATGAAGCGGGGGAAGGTGGGGGAGGGCGTCCATCTCGACCCCCATAAACCCCTGCCACCTCCCCTCCCTTGCCGCCTCCTCACCTCTGCCATCAGGTGCTGGCTGACCCCTCCAGCGGGCGAGTGACGGCGGTGGACTGCGACATGCGGATGGAGAGCAACACGCTGCGGGCTGTGGTGGTGGGTAGCGGACCCGTGGGTCGCTTCACAGCAACCATCTCGGGGGTCACCATGCAAGGTAGGGGGGCAGGCGGCGGAGGAGGATGAGGCATCTGCGTTGCCGCAGTCGACCTCAGCCCAGCTAGCTACCCCGACCACTGCCCCCGCACCTCCATCCGGGCACCGTACCGCCTTGCCCTGCCTTCACGAGCCGACCCAGAGGGGTCCCATAAGTCCCTCCACTCTCCCCTGCCCCCGCGTCAGAGGACTTCTTTACGCGTTATGATTACCCCCACCTTCGCATTACCTTACCTCACTTCCTGCCCCACCTGCTTCCTCCCTCTCCCGCCCCCCTCCAGGTCGCATGCGGCTGTTGCCCTTCCCCGAGCTGCGCCTCATGCTGTTTTCCTTCCGCGAGCCGCCCGACATGGACGTCAAGCTGAGCGTCAAGGGCCCCGTCATCGGCGAGCGCTCCATCCCCACCTCCTCCTTCGCCTTCCTGCGCGCGCAGCTGGCGGCGGCGCTGCGGGACAGCCTGGTGGAGCCGCGGCGGGCGGCCATCAGCCTGGACCCCGTGCCGCTGGTGGGGCAGGTGAGGCGGGAGGGCGGGGGCGGGGAGGCGGGGAGGTGGGCGGGTGGGGAGGAGATGGGGAGATAGGGGCGGGAGGAGAGAAGGTCGGGGCGGGGGGCAGAAAGTGGGAGGTCAAAGACAGGCGGGGGGGGGGTGTGTGGACAGCAGCGGGTACCGGTACCTGGTTAGTAAGGGGGCCCATACGGAGGAAGGCTAGGGGTGGGGTGGGGTGGGGTGGGGTGGGGTGGGGTGGGGTGGGGTGGGGTGGGGTGGGGTGGGGTGGGGTGGTGGTGTGTTCAGGGCTACTCGAGGGGCGCCCTGCAGCTCCTCCAGCGGGGAGTGGTCGCCTGCCACCTCGGAGTGTCCTGGCGGGCCTGGCGGAGGGGGCGGGCACCCACCCTTGCGGCCCAACCAATTCCTCTGCCCTCCTCCCTCCCTCCCTCCCACCCTCCCTCTCTTCCGTCTTCTCCCCCCCCCCCGCTTCCCCAGCCGGTGGACACCACCGTCAACATCTACGTGGAGGCGGTGTCAGGGCTCACCTCCTCCAGGGGGGCCGGCGCGGGGCCGCAGCAGCAGCAGCAGCCCTCCATTACCACATCGGGGGCAGCAGCAGCGGCAAGTAGTGCGGAGGCGGGCGGCGGGGCCGGAGGAGGCGGTGTTAGGGCGGCGGCATCGCAGGCTGCTGCTGCGGCTAGTGAGGCGGTGTCCGGAGGCGCGGAGGCGATTGCGGGCCTTGTGTCCGGGGTCGCGGGGGCGGAGGGCGGCAGCAGGCGGCTGAGGAGGAGGCGGTTGCAGGTGGGGCGGTGGGAGAGGAGGAGGCGGGATGGGGGGGTGGGCAACGGACCCGGGGTGGGTACCGAGCGTGCTGGGCCTTACCGTATTGAGAGCCAGGGCATATGAACAGTGCTGACAGCTACCGGCCGCAACCCCCCCGTTTTGGGTTCCATACGCTCCCATTCTCCCATTCTTTGACGCATACGTCGTCAATTGCAACTCCCCCTACCCTCCCCTCTTTTTGCAGGTCATAGCGCTCAACACAGACAACAAGCTGCAGCGCGCCACGCGACCCGTCTTCTACACGCCTGCACCGCCCTCCTCCTCTGCTCCCAGCTCCCCCTCCTCCTCCCCCGCTGCCCCGCCTCCCGGAGTGGCCCCGGTGCAGCAGCTGCTGCGGCTCAACGTGGGGCACAAGGATGGCATCTTTAAGATCATGGTGGGGTGCTGGGGGCGGGGTGGGGGTTCTAGTGATGAGGGTTGCGTGTGGTGCATGCGTGCACGGACATAGCATGGGGGGATGAAAAAAATGGAATGGTAGGGAAGGCCACGGTGACGGCAACTCGCCATCGCTCCAGGACGTCTCGCATGCAAGCACCTCTCTTCGCCCTCCGTGTCTTGCGCTGGCCACCGACGTCTACACCATAACGGCTGCTGCTTATCGTTACCTCTCATTTCCCTCTTAACCATTGCATGCCCGGGGCCTGGGCCAAGACCCACTCAGGAGCACGGCTGGCTTCTACAACGCGACACGTGTCCCAGTGTCGCCTTGCTTATTGCCGCGTGGCTCTCTCAACTCCCTCCTGCGCCGCCGCTGCTGCCCACGCAGGTCCGCGACGTGGGTCGCACTCCCGGCGCCACCGCCTCTGAAACCCGCGGCGAGTCCGCCTCCTCGCCTGCCTCCTCCTCCTCCTCCGCCTCACACTCCGCAGCCGCCGGGGCAGGCAACAGTGGCGGGCCCCTGGGTGCAGCCGGCATGGGCCTAGGCATGGGCGGTATCAGCGGTGTGGGCGGCGGCGGCGGGGAGCTGCTGGGCAGTGTGATGGTGCACGTGGCGGCTGCCAAGGACGGCAGCACCCTCATGTGGGCCGCAAGGGAGGGGGGAGAGCCGGTGGTGGTGAGGTGGAGGTGAGGGAGGGTGGGAGGGAGGGAGGGAGGGGGTGGGGTGGGGTGGGGGAGCAGGGTGGGGCGGGGGCTGTAGACACGGCTAGGAAACATATTGCCTTTCGAGGGTTGCGGCCGAAAACGAGGCCGCGCATAGGCGCTGTGGCATGAGGATGAGAGGAAGTGTTGGTCCCATCCTGATACCAACAAGAACATCGCCATCCCCCCTTCTCCCCATGCCGTACTTTAGGCCTGCGGACGGCCCATGGCGAGTGACGCTGCCGCTAGAGTGCCCCGCCTTCGGTCTGCCGCCGCCGCCACCTCAGTCGCATGGGCGAGACGAGCCAGCAGCCGCCTACTCCTCCGCCTCCACCCCACCTTCCGGCTCTCTCGACGAGTCCGCCGCCCCAGCCTCGTCCCACGCTGCAGCCAGAACAGCAGCAGCAGGGGCCCAGCAGGCTGCCAACAACCCGGCAGCAGCAGCAGCGGCATCCGCCCCCGCATCAGGCGGGCCCAGCATTACTCTGCTGCTCAGTGCTGACCCATGGGTCTACGAGGACGCCAGCCCACCAGGCAAGTTGTACGACAGCCCTCGCAGCAGGTCGCTGGTGGTTCAGGTGGTGGAGGCTCGGGAGCTGGCGTGTCGCGACTGGGCCGGCACCTGCGACCCCTACGTGCGGCTGTCGCTTGACGGGCGCACCTACCGCACCCGCACCCTCTACAACTGCGCCGCCCCCATCTGGCAGCAGACCTTTGTCATGCCCGACACACCCTCGCTGCTCAGCAAGTCGCTGTCGCTGTCAGTGTACGACAGCGGCGTATCGCGAGATGACCCCCTGGGCTCCGCCTCGCTCAACCTTAACATGGCGAGTGAGCATGGGTTGCAAGACCGTTGGTTACCGTTGCAGGGCGTTGAGAGCGGTTGGTTGAGGGTGCGAGTGGCGGCCGTTCCGGACGCACCCGACTCGGCAGCGGTGCAGCGTATGGTAGCTGCACTGGAGGGACTGACCCGCGGGTCGTCATCTCCGTTGCTGCATGTGGTGGTACTGGGCGCTCGTGCGTTAAGTCCGCGACCCGTGGGTCAGCTGCTGGGCATGCGAGATGCGTACTGCAACATCTTGTACGGCGGCGCGCGGCAGGTGACGCATGTCGTGAAGCAGAGCCAGAACCCGAGGTGGGACTTTGGGGCACTTTTCGTGATGCCGCCCGCAACGGAGGACGAGGAAGAGCAGGGGGTAGAAGAAGAGGAGCCGAGTCTGGACAGACAAGGGGTTGCGGGGGCTACGAACGCTGCTGCCGCTCCTGCTGGTTTGGCGGCGGCCGCATCTGCACGTGCGTCATCGTCCGGCGCTTCCTCAATACCGGCATCACCAGCAGCAGCAGCACCATCGACAACGAGCGCAGGGGTTTCTGGGTTGCCATCGCCCTTGGACATCCTTGGCAGCGGACCCGGGGGGACGTCCCCTAGTTCGCAATACCCCCACCAGCAACAGCAGCAGCAGCAGCCCCACCAAGCTCGTGAGCATCCTGATCGCCATCATCACCATCAGCAGCATGACCACCAGCACCACCAGCCATCCGAGTCACAACACCCGCAGCAACAGCAGCAGCCACCGCAGCCCTCACCCGGCCACCACCACCACCACAGCGGTCATCACCACTCCACCCCCATCCCGCCGCTCGTACCCTACCCGCCCCTCCCCGCCGAGCCCCCTCCCGCCGCCTCCTTCCTCCACCGCAACACCCCGCTGCCCGACCGCGAGCGGTTGCGCCGCCGCCGCCAGCAGCAGCTGCGGCGCCGGCAGCAGCAGCAGGCGAGCGGCGAGGTGCTGCGCATCGAGGTCAAGGACGTGGACCCGGTGCCCCCTGATGACGACCTGGGCTACGTGGAGGTGGCGGTGCGGGAGTTGCTGCCGGAGCCGGGGGACAGCTGGCAGGGCTGGCTGCCGCTGCGGAGAGGCGAGGGAGGGGAGCTGCAGCTGAGGATCAGCCGGCTGGAGCCGCCGCCGCTGATACGGGGGGAGGGCGGTCTGCAGCCGATGCCGTACAACAAGCAGCGCGAGGCAACCCCCCAGGCGTCCTCCTCCTCCGCCTCCGGGTCGTTGCAGCAGCAGGGGGCGACGTTGGGCAGCGGCGGTGGCAGCAGAAGTGGGATCAGCATGGGCGGCAGTGGCAGGTACAGCAGGAGCACCAGCATCAGCACGGTTAGCATGGAGGGCGGGGGCGCGGGTGCCTCCACGGTGGCGGCTCCGCAGGTCCAGAGCGTGCAGCTGGACAGCTTCTTGGGCCAGGTAGGGGGGCGGGTGTGCGGGATGGGTTGGTGGATGCGGACTTGCGGAGGGAGGGGGCAACGTGCAACCAGAGTGCGGTTACCGCCCGCCGCAGCACTCGCCACCGGCTTGCCAAGCTCTCTGGCTGAGGTCCCATGCTCCGTTGGCTTTTGAAGCTATGAATACTACGCGGAGCACTGCCTAGCTGTCCTGTCCAACCCTCTTGCTGCCCTTCTCTAGTCGACACGTTCCCCATCCTCATTCGCTCTCACCAAATTTCTCCCCGCCTGTCATTTCCCTCGTTTCCTCTTGCTTCCCCTGCCCCACCCCACCCCGGCCTGCAGATCCGCGCCGCCAACCGCGGTGCCGCGCAGGTTCGCGAGGACCTGCGGGTGCGGCTGGGGCAGGAGGTCATACCCAAGCTGCAGGACTGGTGGGGGGACGCGCTGCGGCGCACGTCTGCTTCCTGGGAGCCGCCGGTGAGAAGGGGGAGCGAGAGAAGTAGGCTTGGAAGATGACCACGCAGGCAGTGCCTCACCCGATGCAAGTTAACCAAGCCGAAGTTACCATGCCCCAGCACATACCGGACCTCCCGTTCCCCCCTTCCCTTCCCTCCCCCCCTCCCCGCCCGCCAGAGCGACCAGCTCAGCGAGTGGCTGCGTGCCCGCGGGCTGGCTGCCTGGGCGGACGGAGTGAGCAGCCTGGCGGGCAGGCCGCCCCAGCCGGGACAGCAGCAGCAAGGAGGAGGGCAGCAGGATCAGCGGCTGCTGCCAGCCCGAGCGCAGTCTGCACAGCAGGGCGAGGGCGGGGGCGAGGGCGGGGGCGAGGAGGAGGTGGACGACAAGGATGGCAAGGGCAGCGCAGGGGAGGGCCAGGGTGAGGGCGGGGGCGGTGCTGCTGGGTTGCGGGGGGCGTTGTCGCAGGGCTGGAAGAAGCTGCTGGGGCCCACTTCGCAGCGGGGCAGGCAGCGGCCCCGGGGGTGATGTGTATTGCCGTCGTGACACGCGGGACGGGGATGTGGCTGAAAGCTGAGGGGTTCTCCTGCGGTGGGGGTCCGTGAGGGGCGTCCTGCCACAGCCGACACGTGCAGGAGCCGCTGCAGCAGCAGCAGCAGGGTTGTAAGGCCGCAGTAGCAGGGGGTTGTGAGGTGCGCCGGGTTGCGGTACACGGGTTTGCTGGATGGCGGCAGTAATGTGGACGAGGTGAGGAGGGAGGACGTAGGTAAGCCCTCGTTGACCTGAGTGCATGTGCTACGTATGTTTGCTTGGTGTTTCCCGGAGCCCGCATGTGAGGGGCGCCGTGAAACCAGGCAGTGGCTGCTTCCTGCGCAACCTCGAACATTGTAACGGAAGCGCAGCACGTGGCCCCTAAGCACCGGTACCGCGGATCGCCACACGAGGAGCACACGTAAGGCCCCTTATAGGCCCGGCTCTGGGGGAAACCAAGCAGGCCGCGAGGACTTTCATACACCTATGTAGAGGTGTGGCTGTGGCTATGTGGTGTCCGGCGCTAAATGAGGGGTACGACCTAGGGCCATCGGATGCCGACTTGCCGAGTCGCTGGTGCACCCCTGCCACTGCGCGGCCAACCGTTCACCAGCGTTCCTTAGCCTACTCGCGCAGTTGTCCCCCCACAGCTGGTACCGGTATCGCCCCGCGCTGCAGCTGGTAGGGTGCACACTTCCCCGCCTGGGAGGGCCGGCTGGCGAGGGCATCCGAGCTGTGTAAGCTAGCTTGATGGAGTACGGTAGTTGGAGATGCCTCAAAGAAAGCGCACAAAGAGCATCATGCCCGATGCCTTCGTACGGGTTACAACCCGTCGCCCTGGCAGCCCCTACAGTGCTCCTGAGGCCGCCACAAGCAGGCACCCAGACCCACCGCTACCGCCTCTCCACGGGCCCGGGCAGCCGTGCTTAACGGTACCGCAGCAGACCGGAACCGTCCCACAGCCCATCGCTGCCCCCAGCACACGTGCAAGACGTGTGGACGGCCGAGCCGCTGCCGCTGCTGTCCTGCTTGCCTCACCAGTCCACCACCCAGCCGCCTGTCACAGCTCCTACGAGGCAAACCGGTAGCGGCGCGCCACTGCATTGCCTCCATGCTGTTGCCGTGCAACCAGCAGCGGGACCGACCCGTTACCTCTCCCACCTGCTGCTGCTGCACCGAACACACACAGCAGCCCTCCACTGCCCACGCCCCCAGTGTGGCACTCAGCGCACCTCCCGCAGCAGCAGCTACCAGCGCCTCCCAGACGACTCCTTGCAGGAAGGTATGACACGCGCACATGTGTGGACAGCACGCCTCCTCTCCCTGGAGTTGCGCCGGACCACCAGCACCCTCGAGGCAGAGCACAAGGCCTCCCATCTGGTGACCGCCGCCTACAGACTTATCCGCCGTCCGACGAACCCGCGCTACCACTCCCCATCCCGCATGCACTACACAACCCGCTACTGCAGTTGCACCACACGAGCAAGCAACCAAACCAGCTCGCTCGCAAACACAAATTTCCGAGCAGCAAATCCTGCGACTAAGCAGCAGCAGAAATCACCCAGCAGCAGCCCAGCCGCTTCCGCAGCCACCGCCAGCCCCGCAGCGGCAGCATGGCCGCCCGCCCACACACGGCTCTCCCCCCTGTCAGAGCTCGTCCAGCATTCCCTGCAGCAGGCAGTGGCGGGGTGAGGGGCGGGGTCATGCCCTCTACCGTCTACCGCTGACGTCAACACAGAAAGGGAAGCTGCACGGCACACACGCGGCTCTCACTGACTCCGTCAGGCACACGAACCCTCCCCCGCGCCCCACAACCCCGCCCTTCTGTTGCCCGCAGTACCCCCTCCACCCCCGCCCTGCCCCGTCCTCACCTCATCGTCATCGTCCTCATAGTCGATGTCGTCCTCCTCGTCCTCCTCCTCCACCAGCTCCTCCTCCTCAGCAGCGCCCTCCGCATCCTGGGGAACAAGGGGTGGGGGGTGGGGGGGTGGGCAAGAGGCAAGGAGGAAGGGGCGGGAGAGCGGCAGGGGTCGTCAGACAGCAGGGGCAGCGGGCATCAGTAGGAGAGGCCCGGCGCATGATCAAGCAAGCCAACCCGCTCCACGCCCCGCTAGGGTTGCGCCCCGCACCTCACCCTTCATCGCCCTCCTGCCGCCCCCCGCACCTCACTCCTGCCCTACCCGTCCTGACCTTGCCCGCCCTCCCCCACTCCCGCTCGCACCCGCAGCCCGCACACCCTCCTCCACCGCCCTCCTGCCACCACCGCCCGACCCCGGCTCAGTGTATCATTTTCCCACTGCCCCTTACCCCTACTCCCCACCCCACACACAAGCCCCCCTCACATCAAAGTCCTCCTCGTCGTCCTCGCTGAGCACACCCGCCTCGTCGTCGCCCACCACCGCATCAGCGCCCTCAGCAGCCTGCAGAGGGGAGGAGAGGGGGGCGGGGTGGGAGGGTGGGAGGTTGCAATCACAGAGGGAGCAGCTATCAGGTGGGGAGCGAGTCGCAGCGAGCAGTTGCCCTGAACGAGATGCGGTCGTGAAGGATGGGGCGGTGGTGCGGGCGGCGGACTGGCTGCATGGCGGGGGTTGCTGTGGAGGTGGAGCCAGTCGCGACCGCAGCCGCACCCCGCCGTCCCCTCAGCTTGCAAGCCAACACCGCTAAGGCTGGCCTGCGCACTGGGGTCCTACGAGGGCCCCCCCCCCCGCCCTCCACCCGCTCCCCACCCCCACCTGCCGCAGGAACCATGCCTTGCCGCTGAGCCGCCGCGCCTTGTCGTCCTCCTTGAGCGCCTCCGCCGCCTTGGCGCGCGCGGCAGCCACCTCCGCGTCGTAGCGGGCCTGGCGGGGGGGAGGGGAGGGGGTTGGGTGGGACGAAGTGGGGAGGGGGTCGGTGAACTGAAGGCAGGGGGCGTGAGTGGGGTGATGCGGGGTGAGAGCGAGAGGGGTCGTCCCCAGGATAATGGGGGAGCCGGGGGCACGGCGATGGCAAGGGCAAGGGTGGGGGGCCCGCTCCCGCCTGGTAGGAGGGGGCCCGCGGAGGTAGCCCCCACCCCCCGCCTGTGGGATGCCAGCAGCTGGTGGGGAGCTGCAGCCAGCCCATGAGGCAGCAGCGCAGGCAGCCCACCCGCGTGCAGCTGCCCCCCTCCCCCTCCTTCCCGACCAGCTAAACAACGACCGCTAAGCCTTACCTCCCCCACTCAGGTTCATCTTCAGTTTGTGGCACCCTGCCGCACCCTAACCCCATTGCCTTGCCCTAGCTGGTGGTCTCCTATGGTTTGGTGCGGTCTCTCACCCCCCGCCACCTGCCGCACCTTCCACGCCGCAAAGGTCTCCAAAGTGACGGGAGTGCCGTACCTCCCCGCTTCAATAGACTAGCGTTAACTAGTTGTAATTAGGCAGCAACTGGTCATATAACGACGTAGGCAACCAAGGCGAGACGCAAGCACAACGCAGCAAGCAGAGAGTTGGCACTCCACACGCAAGCTGCACACAGACGCACGCCTGTACGATAACCCAACAGCCTTAGTGAAGAACCCGGCCGATTTCAGGAATGTTTTCTCCGAAACCACCGAAAGTCTAATCCGTTGCTTTCAAGGTGTGCCTTTTCAAACTATTCAATAACATAAAGTTATGAAACTAACAGAGAAATGGATAGGCTAATGGAATACAAAACAAGTCTCCTGTACTTTGGTAACCTGCCCAGAAGCAAACGTTTACGCATACTTGTAGTGCTGACTATGGACATGTCAATATGGCATTTGCACAGAGCAAGAAGCATTGAGTTCATGAGACCAATGTCGTACCTTGCCACCAGCGCACTAGAAGCCGTGTATGCTTTGATTAGTTCAAGACCTTCGTGCCTTAACAACTTGAAAGCCTTCTAGCCTTCCCTTGGTGTTTACCGGTAATCATAGCACCTTTACCTTTCAAGTACTTGTTTGCGCCGACACTTATGGCTTTAAGCATACCAAACAATGGGACGATTGAGTAGAAGTGCACAACAAATAGAGTCGTTGTGTACAGCCGCAGAGGCCATACTTGCGCGCGGCAGTAAACTCAGTGCTAAGGTCTTGTTGAACGAAGTTCGTGGTAACCCACATTGCACTGACTTGACTTATAGATCTGCCAATAACTTTCTACATCGCAACAAAGTTGGGCAGCAGTATATGCGCCCTTCTCCCAACGACAATAGTCTTCCACCAAAGAAGCGATTAAGATGGACTGCTGTTGACGAGGCGGCCTTTCAGGAAGCGGTTGTTACCATCCAGTCGACCAGCAATAAACTGACTGCTAGCAATATTGCAAAGGAGCTGAAAGGCAGTGCAGCTTCATACGACCAACTTCGTTACCGTCTTCGGAAATTGACAGCCGCTAAGCACAACATTGAAGAAACGCCTGATTTGGGTGTTGTTGGCAGCAGGAGATGAAGAGTTTGTTGATGGTAAGTTGAACCCACAACAACACATTCGTTAACGTTGTATCAACAGTTTTGTAGCGGTGACAGGAAGTAAACATACTAAACCATGTTCTTGTAGATGAGGGCGAAACTGACAACGAGGACGTGCCAGGAGATGTTGCCCATGACCATGTGCAATCTTCCATGCACTGTTGCATCGAAGCTGCAGAGGAAGCCTGCAAAACAGCCTTTGCCGAAACGTGCTCGTATGCGTGCTGCTGCTGCGACCGCAGACTGTTTAAGCATTCGGTTGTGGAGGTCACGGACAGCTTGTACAACACCCTCTGTGAGCCATGGGCAACAAATGTTGCAGGATGGGTTACGCGTGGTGGCTCGGGGCATATATGCCATACGTGCTTAGGCAGCATCCGTAGGGATCGCTGCCCACGGTTTTCAGTTGACAACGGGCTTGGATTCCCAGACATTCCTGACGAGCTTCAAGGCATCCCTGAGCTGTCAGAGAGGCTCATTGCCAGGCGTGTACCCTTCCTGCAGTTGCGAAGGCTTCCAGCTGGGCAACAGCATGGCCTACGAGGTAGGATTTGCTTCATGCCACAGTGTACCTTTTCTGTCCCACAGACAAGCATGTGCTTTGAACCCCCCCACTGCTACTTTGGACTGTGCGTCCACTCCAAGCAACCCCTCCAGGACATCCAGGGCCGCACCGTGGCTTCCCGTGAGCTGACGCTGGTGGCCCCTAACAACGACTCGCCCACCTACACGGACACCCACAGCATCGCCATCTCGCTTTGGGGGTGAGCTAGGGAAAGATCGGGAAAAGTGCTTCCTGGGCATCATGTCTATTACCTAGATTATTACCCAGGGGAAAGCGGCTGTATACAAAAACATTTCCACGGTGTGCAACCAAGGAGTGTCTTTAATAAATCCATGCGTGAGTGCCACCTCCGGCCAGCGAGGCCGTTCTCCCTTACTAGCAAAGGGTTGGTGACCCACGGGTCTTACAACATGCAGCAGGGGTGACAATCGGAGGCATGCAAGAGGGCAAGGGTACTGCGGATGCGGGCCACAGGCGCAAGCGCGCAGATCCCAAATCAGAAACCTGCTATTTTCAGAAAACACAACCTACTACCTGCTTGGGCTGCGTAATAGAAAAAAAAACTCTGCTTTTAAGGCCGCGCAAGATGACACGCGGCATTATTGCCCATGACTTGCTTGCTCGTGATGCCGCCTCGCGTCTCCACCACGCAGGGACCTGGCCAAGACGGAGTGGAAGGTGGGCCAAGTGCTTCTCGTGCTCAACGCCGCCACCCGAGTCTTCAGGACTGGGAGCGCGGTCAACTACAGCCTCACCACCCGCGCCATCACAAGCATCCAGACGGCTACGGAGCCCATGGCCCGCTTCACGGATATCAGCAGCACCAATTTCGCATTCCAGGTATGGCAACACCTTGCTAAATATCCAGCTGGGACCGGCCACTTGGGTACACAGGTAGCCAACTAACGTTCCGGCCACCATTCCACCGCTTTTACGCACCCATCTCTCCTGCCCAACCCTGCAGAACGCTGGTGAGGTGTCCAACGCCTGCAGGTCCAAGAAGCTGACGGAGGCCATCAGTGCTGCGGCCCGGCACCCACTCCACAACGTGTACGTGAGCCATGTGCGGCTGCAGATCAAGGTCCTGCACAACGTGAACAACCCCTTCAGCTACAACTGCACGGAGCCAACCTCCCCAAACAACCAGCCCTGCGGCAAGCGGCTCCAGGTTTCCGAGGACTCGACCTTCACGTGAGTGTGGCACGGGAATATGCTTACCAGCGTGACTCCAGACTTCTGCTAGTTTGTTTCAACAATGCGTGTACCAGCCCCGCTACCATTACTGCTGCCTTGAACCACCCGTTACTCTGCGCTTCCCAAAACCCAACACGCCAGGTGCTCGGTCCACGGCAAGCTCAAGGGTGGCCCCAGCACCTTTAGCAAGTACATCCTCACGGGCTTGGCGCCCGACTGCAGCGTGGATGGCACCTCGTACAGTGTGGAGCTCCACTTCCACGACATGGCCATCCATCGGTTCCTGGGATTCCCGGCTGGCAAGGCCAGCGTGATCAAGATCAGCAGCGACCGCAAGTACGCCAAGCTGGTCCTGACGCCCCTCCTGAGCCTCTCGGATGGCACTCTCATCATCCGGGACGCCACCCTGCGCACGTGAGTCCATGCGGGAAAAGGTGGCAGCTCTCAAAGCCTGCTGACAACCCCTGCTGTGCCCCTGCTAAAAACACGCAATGCCCAGAGTGTGCACCTTAAGTCCTTGCCTAATTCACACACCTAAACGGCGCAGCATTCCAACAACCGCCCTCCCCGCCACCCCACCCACCCCACCCACGGCCAGTTACAACAACCACTCGTACATCTACATCCGTGAGTTCCAAAAGGTCGCGGATGAAGATGCGGGTGACGCCCATGGCAGCCAGCACGCTGCCGCCTCGGAGGAGGCCGCCGCCAGCGACGGCTCCATGGACTGCTCGGACAGCGGCCACCACAGTGGCGCCGTGGACCTGGCAAGCAGTGAGGAGCAGCAGCACACAGCGAGCGGGGACGAGGGTAGTGATGGCGTTGGGGGGGACACGGACGAGGATGTGTCCGATGTAGATGACGAGGAGGACGAGAGGGCCAGCAGCAGCAGCATGGCGGCGTCGGAAGATCCCGTGGAGGACACGGACACTAGTGAGGGAAGCAGTGATGAGGATGGGGATGCAGATGGAAGTGGCTCTGCCTCGGAGGGCGGCGAGGAGGACACTGACGATGACAGCACCTAAATGCATGCACACAACATCGTAAGGCCCGCCTGAGCGGCTGATGGAATGGGTGTTGGGCACATGCAACTAGGCGGGGGTGGTGCTGCGGGTACCGGGCAACTGACAGCTAGGACAAAGGGGGGAAGGGCCCGAACCTGTACCTGTACTGGGAGGGTGGATCACACACTGTTGGCGAAAGAAATATTGGGGTACAGCTGGGTGGACTTGCAAGTGGTACCTGGTAACGTGTCGCTGGGCAACCGCAGTATTGGTCATGGTAGCAAGCAGGTAACGACTGCCGCTGTTCAGCGCGCCGTCATTACACAAGCAACGCAGCCCTATCTGTAACTGTACCTAACAGCATGACCGAACCGCTGCAGTCCGACCACACACACTACTATACACAACTATACACAACACATGGGCAGGCCATGAGATCGCTTCGGTGTCGTGCCCCATCGTTGGCTCGTGCAGTTTGTGGTCACGGGTGGTGACGCTCGCGGGCATGTCCCATGGTTCAGTTGGATGATGACGGTGCGAATTGCTACTGCCGAGGTGACTGAGTGGTTCCGGTTATAATGGCTGGTATTATCGCAGTTCCTTTGCTTTAAGTGTTGTGGGCTGTGGAGAGATCGCTCTGGCGTGTCCAGAGTATCTGTCGTACAAGTGCCTGTCTTGTTAGGCGGCGCAGTGCCCGGGCTAGGGCACTGCGTTTTGCTCACATACTCATGTACTGCCTGTAAGAACCATGAAGGGCTTCATGCGCTCCTGATCTGCGGCGCAGATCTGCAGCTTACATGCGCGCTTAAACGTAGTCACAAACAGCGATCTCCCAAGCGTTGGGCAGCCCAACGTAGCAGTCAAAATAGACAGTAGGTTATCAGTTCCCCGTGGGCCTGGTCAGTCCGCGGCTCAGCCGTCTTGAAGCCCGCCCCAGCACGGGACGAGAGGCGCTGAGGAGCGCTCTACGTCTACAGCAAGACTAGGAGTGCGCCTTCCGGTTACGGGAGGCAGAGTCGGAGGCCCCGCCGCCGCCGGGTGAGGCTGCGGTGCTGCGGGTGGCGGACCTGCCTTTCCAGCAGGGGGGGCAGTGGCTTGTGGTGGGGCATTGGGGCAGCGGGGGAGATTGGGGTGAGGCGGACATGCTGGCTTGGTTGTGGGGGGGAGTGCGGACCCCGGTGGCACTAGAGGGCCAAACCAGCGTTGGGGCACGACATCGGTCTGGTTCGTTACGTCGCTTTCTCCCGGGGAATTTCGTTGTTTTGTGTCCAGTTGCTGCCAGCCTTTTGTAGTCAACGCTAGTCAATTGAGGATAGCCCTTGCCGTCTAGAGCTTGGGCTGGCTGCCTTACCGCAGTCTAGGTGCGGATATTCGTCGACGTTGACGATTTCATGATTCTGGGCCACACCCATGCGGACGTGGTGGGGGCTTTCCAGGTCATGGATACGGTGGGCACGGAGCTGGGCCTCGAGTGGAAGGTCAGCAAGGACCGCGGTCGGGAGGAGCCCAAGCAACAGCTGGAGTTC